GGGCGCAGAAGCGCGAGCGGTCGGCGCGCAGCAGGCTTGGCAAGAGTGCCCGACTGCGCGGGGAGTCCCACAGGTCCAGCAGCTGGGGTCAAGGCAGCATCACCATGACCGCCCAAGTTCACCCCACGTGGCCTCCAACCCACCACACCCTCCAGACCACCCTGTCCAAACCCACTCATCACTCATCACTCCAAGTGCCCCCAAGGCCCCCAGGTTGTCTGAGCCCCTGGGGCTTATTCAGTGATGGATGAAGTCTGGGGTCCCATATGAGACCCACCTCCTCTGGGATCTGTAAGAAGGAAAAGCAAGGGGAATCAGGGCCAAGGGGAGGTGGCCACCCTTCAGAGTCCCCTAGGCACCCCTCCCTCTCTTTTCTTCCCATCCCATCCCTCATTAAGCCCCTTCCCCTCAGTCCTTGACCCAGCCCCTCCTGGACCCTCACTCCCAACTGTGCCCTCAGGTGCCTTCTCTGTTCCTCCATCCCTTCCCTGATCCTCAGCCCCTAGCCATTTCTCTGACTCCTTCCTGACCCTTCCCCCCTGCCCTTCTGACCACCAGTCTCTCTCTGTGCCCACCCCTAGCCCCTCAGTCTCTCCTTGACCCCCTCCCTCCCATTTCCTCAGCTGTGTCCTATCTCTGACCCCTGGCCCCCATCTTCTACCCCCTCAACCTCCCCATCCCCTCCTTGCCCCTGGGGATCCCACCTTGGCTCAGGGCCCCTCCATGCCTCTCTGTTCCCTATTGCCTCTGCTCAGCCCAGGGTCCCACCTGGAACACGTGGAATCCCACTGTGAGGTAAGTGAGGCCCTGGGCCCTCAGTCGCCGCCGGTTGCGCTGGATGAGTGACAGGAGCACAGTGCACTTAGGGATGCGGCCCCCCCGTGCAGGGCCTCGTGCCCCCACTGCCCCCCAGCCCCCATAGGGCCCCTCATCATCATCCTCCTCCTCCTCCTCATCAGGCTCCAGCAGCGTCAGCCGGAACTGGGGGTTGGTCCAGAAAGTTTCTAATAGAGGAGAAAGATCGAGGGTTACCCAGCCTGCCACAGTCCCCCTTGCTTGCCTTCAGGGCCCCCTCCAGGCCTCACCTACCGGCACCAGGCTGGCTCCCGCCAGAGTTGAAGCCGCGCACCCAGCGGCCTTGGAAGGTGTGAACATGCCAGCCGCCTCCAGTCGGGCTGGGGCCCAGCACCTCAGGGCTCAGCGAGCAGACCTGGACGGTGTCGAAGTGTTGGAGGAAGTCCTGCAGTTCCATCCTGGACAGTGGCAGGCAGTCAGACCCTGCCCCAGCCCCTGCCTCCCCAGGGCCCCAAATATCTCAAGTTTCCCAAATATCTCAAGACCCCAGAAGCGAATCTCCATCACAAAGCTCCCTAAATTCCTTAAATGTTGCCAAATACACTTCAGTTCCCCCAAATAATACCATGTCTCCAGAAATGACCCCCAAACTAGAGCTCTCTGGCTCCCCCAGATTTCCCCAAGTCCTCAGAAATGCCCCACATATAGCCGAGATCCACAAACTTCCTCCAAATACGGACAAATTGCCTTTAACCTCCAAATATTAAGACCCTCAGACTCTATCACCAACAAGTATCCTTCAGCCCCTCAGTATTGCCGTGCCTCAAGAAATGCCCCAGATGTCACCAAGCCTCCTCCAGTTACCCTAAATTTTTCCCACCTCCTTCAACCCTCCAAAGATGACTATGCTTCCAAATCTCCCTAATATTACTACTGATTCTTCCTCGACTTCCCCAGATAGAACCTGACTTCCAAATTACCATGGATATGGGCAGTTCCTCCCTGTTAGAACCCATCCCCGTGAACCTCTCCCATGTCCCTTCAAGCAGGACTCATCCCGCTCCCTAACCCCACTGGCCTAGCGCCCTTTTCAGAGGCAGGCCTAGGAAGCTGCCCCACTCACCAGAACTCGCCATCCTCCTTTTTCACCAGCAAGGCATCTCGCCACTCCGTGGGGAGTGCATCCCAGCGTGGGCAGCTGGGGAGACTGGGTGTCAGGGGTCGGTGGGTGTGGCTAAGCCTCCCCCCTCCCCCAGATCCATCCCACCTGTCGCTCCAGGCCCCGGTCCACTCCACACTGCCCCACGGGTTCCGCAGCCGCAGAAGCCGCACCTTGGTGAAGCCCAGTGACACCTAATGGAGGCGTGGTCAGTGGGGAGTGGCTGCTTGGACACCTCCTGCCAGCCCACCCCTGGGGGATCCTCACCTTGTGTGTGCCGGTGACTGAATATGCATGTCCCTTCACCAGCCCATCTTCAGTACGGTACTCACCACGATCACTCTGGGCAGAGGATAGGGGACAGTGAGCCATATTGGGGGACAGGAGGGTGGCTGCTCCTCTCTGCATCCCCACCTCCTGTCACCACAGCTAGAAGTCACCCAGAGCACCTAACTGAATGGCACGGGGCTCTGACAGGTTGTGGGAGTTGGCGAGAGAAGGAGAGAGAAGGAAAGAGGCAGATGAAGACAAGAGACCAAAATAGATTTAAAAAGGAGAGAAACAGAGACACAGGGACAAACATACAGAACAGACAGGGAAAGAGACAGAGAAACACAAAAGACAAAGACAGTCAGTAACTGAGTAGAGGATTAAGTAAATGAATAAATGAGTTAGACAGACTCAGTGAATAAATGAGTATGTGGTTGGGTCACAGATGAACATATGACCCAGACTAAGCCCATGAAAATCAATCCGGGGACTTTTGCTGAAATTTTTAGAAAGAGGCACTTTTTTTTTTACACACCTCCCCCAGGGTGGTAGGAGGATCCCACAGCTGTGGGGGCCATTTTTGTGTCCATGAGGGGAAAGCCTGCCTGTAAGTGAAGCTAACCTAGAACGAGGAATAGAAAAACACATTCACAACATCCACTATGCACCTGGATCCAGCTGTGCCTGAAGCTTATTAGTTTTGAGAGCAAATAAAGGTTCTTTTGACTTGCTCGTGTTTGATTTGTGAGCGAGAATAAGCCAACAGTGAAAGCAGAGAGAAGGACCCAGGGCACCAGCCCCTCCCGCCGTGACTGTGCTCCGGTCCTGGTGGGGGTCTCCGCGGGAGTTTCTCTCACCAGTGCAGTGGCGCCCACAAGGGACTCCTTGGCCAAGGCATGGCGCAGGGCAGAGAAGAGGCCTGGGGTGCCTTGCCTCAGGTAGAGCACCTCACCCACACCGCCTGTGAAGTCCACGAAAGCCTCATTCATGTGGCCGCCTCGCATCACCTCATAGGATCCGTGGAGCCTGTGGGAGCAGGTTCGGGGTGGGGTGTCTGAGGCATGTGGGTGTATCTCGGGCAACCCTTGAGATGTGGGGGGCCTTTGTCCACAAATTTCCCCATGGTCTATCCCGAATTTCTACACTCTTGAGGTGTGCACACTCTGGAAGCCCTTGGAAATCGAGCTGGCGGCTCCTGGGGCCACTGGGACTGCATGATTTGGGGGTCACAGGAAACCTCTGTCAGAATTCTGGGCTTCGTAGGGGCTGAGTCTGACACTGAGTCTCTGGGAGATGTCTGCTTTGGGGGTGATCCCGATGGGGCTTGTCAGGGATTTCAGAGCTGCAGGATTGGGGGAAGCCAAGCTGTGAGAGTCCTGGGGATTACATCCAATATTCGGAGGTGCCTTAGGTTTCTTGATGGAGAGATTGTCTGAGATTACAGGTTCCCTAGCGAGGGGTCAATCTTAGACTTGGTGACTCTGGGGCCTGATACATGAGATCTCAGTCTCCTTCAGAAATACGGGTATTTGGTAGGGCTCTAGGAGGATTTTGTGTAAATGCTGATAGAGGGAAGGGTTTCTGACTTGGAGGTCCTCAGGCGATGGTGTGACATTAGGGTCCTGGGTGCCATGCCTTGGTTGGAGATCTTTGGTGGGGTGTCTGGAGGATCCCAGAAGCCAGGGGGCTCTGAGGGTCCCCTGTGGCCAGCTGGCTGCGACTTGGGTTGGCACTGGGGGGTTTGGGGTCCTTACTTGGCATAGGCCTTCTCCAGGAGTGGGGCCCAGAACTCGTTCCGCTGAGCTGAGCGCACGAACACCAGCTTCCCCTCACGCACAGGCAGCCTGTCATCCACCACGACGTCCACCCAGTGGCCAAACTGCCAGAGCTGGTGGGAGAAGGGGTGGGGCCGGGCTCAGCTTCTCCTGACCTCCGACCCTGCCTGTGACCCTGACCCTGCTGTACCAGCCCAAGAATTACAGCCCCAAGGAGACAGTGTCAACTGTGCAACCCGTGTCACCATGGGGGAAACCGAGGCTTGAACAGAGGAACTGTGCTTTACCTGGAAATGGAAGATACCTGCATAGCCACCTTGGAAAACCCTTCCTGGGGGGACCGACCCGGCACAGGAGTCGGGGGTACAGAGTGAGGGAGGCAGCGGCGGCAAGAAACCAGCAGTTACCTGGGAGGAAGAGCTAGGATGGGTGAGGATGGAAAGTGGGAGACAGAGGTGCGAGGAGAGAACAGAGTGAGAGGGAGACAGAGGCAGGGACGGGGATAGATTGAGGGGCTGGGGGCGGGGCAGAGCGAGGCTGAGGGCAGGGCTGTCAGGGTCCCAGCTGCAACTTGCCGGACCCATGGGCTCAGCGTGGGTTCAGTGGTCTCACCCAGGCTCCCCTGACACACGTCTGTCCGGCTCATGTCCTCACAGATGAACTGGGGCTCAGCACAAAACTCCTAGGAGTGATGGGGGATTCCAGGCCTCAGCCAGGAAGGGGAGGGAAGAAGCAACTGGGAGGTCAGATGCCTGGGTCCCCTTCTGCCTTCAGTGCTCCGGAGTAATGAGTGCCTCCAACCCCAGAAGAGGCTTGTAAAGCCTATGGACAGGTGTTTGGCCTCCCTGGTCCTCCCCTGACCCAGGATGGCTGAGCCTGCTCTGAGTCAGTCCCACAGAGACCTTTCCTCCCTCAGACCCAGGAGTCGGAACTCCCAGACCTTCCTCCTCAGATCCAAGCCTCCAGCCCCTTCCTCCCTCAGACCCGGGAGCCCAGCCCCCCAACCACATCCTCCCTCAGACCCAGGAGCCCAGCCCCCATCCACACATTACATGCGGCCTCTTCCATTCCACCCCTTTGGCCTTCTTCGAGTTCGGTCCCAGCTGGTTATAGCCAAGAGAATCAGGGCCAGCAGGGAAGTAGGGATCTTGGAACAGGATTCCCTCATCCAGGCAGGCTGCTCGGATTGCATTGTAGTTCTGGCCCCGAAAAAGCTTCGGGCCCCTGGTCCCAGGCCCTGCCTCCTCATTCACCAGCTGAATGGTGACCCTCCTGCTTCCACACGCCATCAGGACACTGGCTCCCAGGCTGGTTCCAGGCCCTTTAACCTCCTGAGTCATAGGGGTGGGGCCATCCCCTCCATCAGAGCCCAGGTGGGGGGTCTTTAGTGAGGAGCCTTCCCTCGTTAATACTAATTGACGGTTTGTGGTGCCGGATAGCAGGGACGCCTCTTTAGTGGTTTCCTCCCCAGGGCGTGAGGCCTTCAGCTGTGCCAGGGTAGCAGCTTAATGGGCTTGGCCAGCAGCAGGAGGGAAGGAGGACAGAGCTGAAGGAGGACCGGCTGCCGCTGTGGGAGTGCCTAGAAGGAGGTCAGTAGGGGGTGGGTCACTGCCAGCTTGGACCTGTGTGTCTTCCTCTGGGGGGCCAAGGAGGGCAGGGATGGTGAGGGAGGCATGTTTACCTCTGTGTCTGTATCTCTCTGTCTCTTCACTAACAGTTTCTCTGCCTGCCATTGTATCTCTCTTCCCCATCTTGGCCTCATAATCTCTGTCCACCTCTCTTGTCTCCTTTGGTCTTTCTCCTTTTTTTGTTTGTATCTTCATATCTGTCTGTGTCTCTCTCTGTATCTCCCTCTGTTTCCATCCCTCTCTCTTTTTTTTAAATTGAAGTATTGTCAGTTTACAATGTTATGTTAATTTCTGATGTACAGCATAGTGATTCAGTTACACATATATATATTCCTTTTCATATTCTTTTTCATTATAGGCTATTACAAAATACTGAATATAGTTCCATATGCTCTACAGTAGGACCTTGTTGTTTATCTATTTTATCTATTTTATATAGTAGTTAGTACCTGCAAATCCCAAACTCCCAATTTATCCCTCCACCTTGCCCCCATAACCGTAAGTTTGTTTTCTATGTCTATGAGTCTGTTTCTGTTTTGAAAATAAGTTCATTTGTGTTATTTTTTTAGATGCCACATATATGTGAGATCATACAGTATTTTTCTTTCTCTTTTTGGCTTATTTCATTTAGGATGATGATCTCCAGGCCCATCCCTGTTGCTGCCAATGGCATTATCTCATTCTTTTTTATGGCTGAGTAATATTCCATTGTATGCATATACCACAGCTTCTTTATCCAGGCGTCTGCCAATGGGCATTTAGGTTGCTTCCATGTTTTGGTTATTGTCAATGGTGCTGCCATCCCTCTCTCTTTATATCTCTTCCAATGTCTCTTTTTCTTGCTGCATCTGTCTTGTACATGCCTCACTGTCTGTCCCTCTCCATTTTCCTCCCTGTCCTTGTAACTCCTCAGTCACCCACCACGGGACTCTGAGCCATCAGGACCCCTGTCTCTCTGCTCCCTGACAAAGCAGATCTCAGCCTGGTCGCCCCAGGCAGGGCTTCTCATGGAGGCGCTGCTCTGCACCTACCTGCACCTACCTGCCCTAGGCTGGAAGGCGGGCCCATTAGTGACCATGACACCCCACCCTGCCTACCTGTGGCTCAGGATTCGGTGGAGCAGTATTTCCCCCAAAGGACACTGCAGCCATTGAAAGATATGGGAGAAATAGATTTCAGGAGGCCAGAAACTCACCAGTTTTCTTCCCAGCCAAACTTCCACACTCAGCAGGGGCATCTCCTGCCCTGGCAGAGCCCTGTCTCCTCTGTGGCACCTTGATGACCCTCAGCCCTTTGGGATCCTTCCCTCCAAATGGACCAATGGATATTGTCTCTGTCCGCTGCTATGTGGCTACCAAAGTGGGGTTATAAACAGGTTTTCTTCCTATAGAATTGCTAAGACCAACTCCCCCACCCCTGTACCATGTGAGGCAGATGACAGGGTTAGGAGCCAGAGGGCCTGGGTTCAAATCCCAGCTCTGCCACTTAGAACTGTGTGTCCTGGGCAAGGCACTTAAACCTCTCTGTGCCTCAGTTCTTCATCTCTACAACGGGGGTAATAATAAGACCTACCTTGGAGGGTTGTTGTGACAAGCAAATGAGATACTACATGGGACATGTGCAGAGCAGTGCCTGACATGTAGTAAGTGCTCAGTGAAGACTAGATGTTCTGACTACCTTCTGCAACCCCATCCACATCACTTATCACCTCTGGCTCTGGCTGCTGTCTCTGCCATTTCCACGGTCACTTCCACTATCTGTGCTCCACATTCTCAACCCGCAGGGTCACAGCCCTCTCCCCTTTATTGGCCCCCAAAGCACCACTAACTGTAGGAGAAAGCTTTTAGTAAAACCTGGCTGACATCTTGCAATGATGTGAAAACCCTGTCCCATCCGCCGGCCTCCTTCCTGCCCCTTCCCAGCCCCTCCTGCAGGCCCCTCCTGGCTGCTGCTCCTCCTGGCTCTCACCTGGCTGCCACACTGCAGGGTTCTGCTCACATCCCACAGTCAAGAGTTCTCTGGATTATCATTCCCCAGATCTCCCCCTTCTCCTTGCATCCAGGGTCCCAAATACTCTTTCCCCAGCCAAGGTAAGAAAAACACATGGATGTCACTATAGTGGATGTATGTTGCTTTGTGAGCCCAGCACCCCCTACTGCTCTCTGGAGTCAGTATCCCCCTTATGTTTTGGGGACCCCACAAATAAGGGACTTATTCTCAGGTCACAAGTCTCTCTAAGGGCTGGCCCCTCCCACCAGCTCCAGAGAAGGGCATGTGAGCTAGACCAGCCAATCAGAGCAGGGCAGCCCAGGCCACGCCCCTAGCCTCACCTCTGTGCAGATAGTAAGGGCGGGGATTCTCTCGCCCTGGGGCCACTAGGCTGGCAGGATGTAAGCCCCGAGTGGCCCCGGGCTCTACCTTGGCTGCGTCTCCCGGAGACCCTGCCTGAGGAAGGGCGTTGCTGAGCGAAGCAGAGCTAGGCATGGGCAGAGAGAAAAGATTCCCCCACATGATACCTGGAATGTGATATAAAGGGACACTTCCTCTTATTTGCTGCTTAGTTGCCGTGAGGCACAGTTCATAAAAGAAAGACCAGGTACTTCCTTGATTCTTTCTCTTTATTTACCACTTTTCAGAGCAACACTAGTTTATTAAATATCTGTATATGGGTCAGAATTCCTTTTGAGAGCTTTCACTGTAACAGATCACCTAGTAGTGAGGTTGTGTTGGGGAAAGGCTTTCCTTCAATACTTGGCAGCTACTGTTGCCTGTCCAAAAGAGTTGATACCTGAGGCAAGGCGTCTGTATCCCAGTACCATCCAGTCATTAGCATGGACCACCACCTGGGAGGGTCCTAATGATGGGTGAGACAGTTCCCTGCGACAGAGGGCACTTCCCAGTGAGGAACACAGCTGTGAGATGCCAGGAGCCCAAAGTCCTAGCACATCCTAGGTCTGTCCACTGAGAGAGGCTGTCTGGGGAGCTTTTCTGCAAATTTGTGGTTATTTTAAAAGCAGAACAAATGCTATCTAAAAATGACTGAAATGGTTATTAAAAATGATTCTGCAGGCAAAGCTGGTCTTTGTCGTCTCCATGCTGCTTGGGTGGCCTCATAGAGGCCCCACATGCTGGGGCAGTGGGATCAAAGAATAAAAATAAAACTCTCAATTGTATCAACAGAAAGTGAAATGAGTTACTGGGAAGAAAAAATAACTATATTATCTTCATATTACTTGTGGAGAGTTAACAGCTAACATTGAATTCTTGACATTGATAATTAAGTAACCCTAGGTTCAAGTATGAGCTTAAAAAAAATCTATCATTAGTGGGGCGAGTAAGGCTCAGTGGTAGAGCATGTGCTAGCATGCACAGGTCCTGGGTTCAATCCCCAGCCCACCGTTAAAAATAAATAAACCCAGTAAATAAATAAATAAATGAACCTAATTACCCTCCCCCCCAAATCTATCTCTAATCATGAATAGAGTAAGAACAAATCAATAGGACAGCTTAAAAAGAAAAAAGAAGAAAAGCTAATCCATTTGGCAAAGGCCAAAAAACAAAGGGAAAATGCAGGGACTCATAAAAATGAAAACAGAAAGTATGAGAAAATGACCAAAGTAAAGCCAAACACAATAGTTTTAACACTATTTAGCAAATGTGTGAAACTTGCGAGTAAGTAAAAAAAGAAGAACTAACTGTAGTGATGTTTGCACAACCCGGTAAGTATACAACAAAACGTTGAACTGTACACTTTAAATGGGTGAATTGTATGGTATGCAAACTATATCTCAACAAAGCTGTTATTTTTTAAAATCCAATGGCATTGGGGTTTGGGGAAAAGAAGGAAAGTTGAAACATTCATTCTAAAGTGTCTCTGAAGGAAAACTTACTATTTAGGACTTACCTACTAAATAGTTAACATGTCTTATGAAACTGAAATAAATAATGTTACAGTAACACAAAAATAGAACAATGGGAAAAAAAGAGTCTAGAAATATACCTATCACATGTTAAAATTTGATGTATAATTGAGATGTCAATTCACATCTCAAGGTGACAAAGCAACCAACAAATTGGTCATTTAACACTTAGAAAAAAGATATAGCAACTCTACTCTACTGGGCTTGTTTTCTTTTTTCTTTTTTCACTTAATGGAGGTTCTGGGGATTGAACCCAGGATCTTCTACATGCTAGGCATGTGCTGTACCACTGAGCTATACCCACCCCCTCAAAAGTATATCAACTCTAGATGGACTAAAGAATAACATTTGAAAGTTACAAAGAAACTAAAATGTCTTACCTCAAAGTTTAAAAGAATTATATAAGCATAATAACAATGTGGAGGTGGGGAGGGCATAGTTCAAGTGGTAGAGCATATGTTTAGGATACACAAGGTCCTGGGTTCGATCCCCAGTACCTCCTCCAAAAATAAATAAGTAAGCAAACCTAATTACCCCCCCAAATAATAATAATAAAAAAGCAACATATGGAATTGCAAGGGAAAATCAGTAAATCTGATTATGTAAAAATCAAAAGCTTCTACACATCAGAAAAGCATTGAAATAATGTTTAAACTCAAGACACAATAGGAAATGAGGAAATATGTACATCATACTTGTGATATATGTGACAGAAAAGAGTTTAGTGTCCTTCATTAATAA